TTTGAGCCAAGTCACACCATACACTGATGCCCAGAAGAGCCTCAGTCCATCATGGTGTACAATCGCTGTCCAGTGTACACCAGAAGCATGGCACACCGTGCTTCACAGTATGAGGTACAAAATAATGTTTTGACAAGAAATAATCACACAATGTAAATACTATAAGCAAATGGGTCATTATCAAAATATGAACCTTTTTATGTCAGTAATCTCTATCTTTCATAAAGTTTGAGATAGCTCTTAACTTTCATCCCTAATATTTCAGTGGGGAACCAAATTAACATACATCATCAACATTTGCCTTGTCAGTGTTTTATTTGCTTGTGGTGGAGTGGTATCTAGTCTGAAATTGTTGAATTATCACTGTCAATAGAAACCGAATGCACTTTTCAGTGAACATATTTCAGATTTTATGTCATATACATGAGTTTTTATGTTGTTATTTTACAAATGGGATTAGAATCTTTAAAATAAACATCAGTGTCCTCTATGTTTCTATCTTTAAATAATGAAAAATAAGCAAGCCATGCCTGTCTAAAAGGTTCCTGTCCTTGGTGTAACCATTTGTTTAATTAGGTGTAAGAGTTATCTATCTTTATGTAGAAAGAAGGTAAATGAATGCTCTCTTATCATATCTATTCCTGTCTTCCATGGAGAAAATTGTTTTTGAGTCAACTGAAGAAAACCTTATTCAAACTGGAAAAAGGTTACACCAAGCATCACCATATGAAGGTCCAATGTCCTTGGTGTAACCTTGTTATAAAGATAACTATTTGATTTACAAAACATCCTAACATGCATAAAAGAAGAGTTGGTAATGAATGGTGTCAGCTTCTGTACAGTGAGCTGTCAGTTGTACTTTAATTTCATGTTGAATGAATATATGTAACTGTCCTTGGTGTAACCTAAATCATGACAAAATGTCCTTGGTGTAACTTAATATGTGCTTGGTGTAACGTAACATGTCTTTGGTGTAACTTAATAGTGAGTGAGTGAGTTTGGTTTTACGCGGCTTTTAACAGTATTAAAGTTATATCGCGGAGTGTCAGCTTAATGTGGGAGGTAAGCCCGAAGTGATGCAGGTCTCAGATGTTTACCACTTCGGTGACACCCACGAGCACGGGTATGGTGCTGACAAACTTAGAAATATAACCGGGGCGAACCGGGATTCGAACCCACAATCACAGGTTTCTTGCGTGCCAAAGGGACGCAACTCTGCACAGCGAATCGCTGCGCCTTAGACGACTCGGCCACCCGTGCACCCTACAATCTTAGATACAATCTTGGTATTTTCTAATTACGTCATAAAAACGTTATGTTATGAGTTGATTTATCTAGTCAGATTATTCTTTTTATTTAACATGAATAAGACCGATCGTGATATGTGAAATGAAACGATAGTGGTGATATTGATCTATCATATAGCATTAGCATGACTTTGCATTGATGACACCAGGTGTTCGCGAAAAGTTAAGAAGCAAACAACTGAACAGAGCCTCCATCCTCAAACAAGCCCAGTGTTTCGTGAACACCTGGTGTCATCACTGATATTCAGTGATCCATTCACATCATTTCCACCGCTATTTTGCCAATTCGCACAATGGAATCGGCTTCGACGGAGAGTCGACACTGCTTATTTCCCGGCGTTGATATTTCACGAATGTCACGGTGTGTCAGATTGATGTATGAGGAAAGCCTGAAGTGTAGCAGACCTCACACGTTTTCCACTTTGGTGAAACCAATACTCAGGGCGAACTTGGATTCGAACCCAGGCTCATAGGTTAATGGCACGCCTTAATGATGCTACTCCACGTTGTCGTGGCGTCTCACGTAGCCGGGTCTTGCCGCCTCGTGATAATGAAGTCAATGTAAGCGCTCGTAAAATATATGCTTCTTCTCCACGGCGAATCTGTTTAAGACACACTGTTCATGTTGATGCCTCGAAGACATAGCGAAACAAGCCATAACGAGTGAGCGAGTTTGGTTTATTGTCGTTTTGAATAACATTTAGTTATATTACAGTGTGTCAGACTTACGTGGAATAAAGACCGAAGTGATGGTGGTCTTTGACGCTTACCACTTTGGTGAAAGACGTGTTGGTTGGTTTGTTGTTTAACGCCGCACTCGGCAATATTCCAGCTATATGACGGCGATCTGTAAATAATCGATTCTGAACCAGACAATCCAGTGATTAATATCATGAGCATCGATCCACGCAATTGGGATCGACGACATGAATCAACCAAGTCAGCGAGCTTGACCACCCGATCCCGTTAGTCGCTTTTTACGACAAGCATAGTCACCTTTTACGGCAAGCATGGGTTGCTGAAGACCTATTATACCCCGGAATCTTCACGGGTCGAAAGACGTGTTGGGCTGACTAACCGAGAAACATAATCAGGGCTATTCGGTGACACGGACACACGATGTTAGATTTCTAGCACGCCTGAGAGAGGCAACTTTAACTTCTCGCATCATAGACGGTCTATTTGTGTGCTGAATTCAACCTGAGGCTGTAGTTCTTAATTAAAAGTAAGGCCAATGGAACCCCGTTAAAATGTTTGTAACTTAATGTATTGAAGGTCAAAATATTTCTACAAGGTTATATACTCAACAATCTACGTATGTTTCCTGGGAAGAACTGTCCGAACTATCAAGGTTCAACTACACGTGTTTCCTGAGTAATGCTCCCAAAGCTATCAAGGTTCACATGCACGTGTTTCCGGAGGAAAGCTCTCTAAACTATCAAGGTTCGACAACACGTGTTTCCTAAGTAAAGCTGGCCGAACTATCAAGGGTCAACTACACGTTTTGAGGCTATTCCTTAGAAAGCCGCTTCATTAAAAATTGTAGAATGCGACGCTCCTCTGACAGATCCACATATAATTCTGAATGCATGTAAATGAAGTCATCGTGTCCCTATTGCGTGGATCGATGCTCATGATGACAATCACTGGATTGTCTGTTCCAGCCTCGATTACTTACAGACCGCCGTCATATAGCTGGACTAGTGCGGCGTTAAACAACAAACAAATAAACAAAAAAATTACCAAATTTTCTGGAGACATTTTTCATACAGTGTGAATAAGTTTTCATGGAACCATAAATTCTTTGTATGGATTAATGTAACACTTCAAAAGTATATGGTATGTATCGTACGGTTGCAAAGTACGACAACACGGGGATGACACTTTATGCTGTGGTCTAGCTTTCACTGCCTTACTCGCACCGGACGCAGATACGATATCCCTGACCGCTGACTTCATCCGGTCACCGGGCGGTCACCTACCAGTCATCCAGGGACTCGAGCGAGCTACATACATACATACATTAATATATTGTGTCTATCAACATGCACTACAAGTTCTTGACTCTACGTCCCCTACTCCGTTACACTATACAATGGCATTTATACAAAACAGTTATTTCAATATAAAACACGTAATTAATTTATATATAATACTTATCATTCACTTCTACAATACGATGCTTGTCGTAAGAGGAGACAAACGGGATCGGATGGTAAGGCGCGCTGATTTGGTAGATGCATGTCATCGTGTCCCAATTGTTTGGATCGATGCTCATGATATCAATCACTGAATTGTCTGGTCCAGACTCGATTTTTTACAGACCGCCGTCACATAGCTGGAATATTGCTGAGTGCGGCGTTAAACAACAAACAAACAAACAAACAAACAAATGAAACTCAATATTTAAAAAAACCAATACAACATTTATCAATACGATATATGTAGCATTTATGAATTTGGAGGCAAGAGTTATCGGAACTTAAACAAACATAAAGCACATCAAATAAAGCTAACTGATAATAAATAAATTCATACAGAATATATTAATGATGTTGAAGAGCGTGAGTGTGGTTTTACGCCGCTTTTAGCAATATCCCAGCAATATCACCGCGGGGGGCACAAGTAAAGAGCTTTATACATTGTACACATGAGCGGGATCGAACCCGGTTCTTCGGCTTGACGAGCGAACCCTTTCACGACCAGGCTACCCTACCGCCCTTTTTATGATATTGGTAGCAATAGGTATCTCAACTAAAACTCAAGCAAATGAAATAAAGTTAATCTAAAAATAAACGACGATTAGCAGTTGTACAATAAAACACTGCAGGGAGAATAAACCGCCAGTCGATTATTTCTTATATGAGATATCAATATTATGTTCAGCCTCTTTAAGGATGTTACTAAACCGTACAAACTTGAAATATATTTACCCGTATTTACATAATGATGACTCCCTGAATGGAATCCGACCTCGGCAATGTCGGACAAGTCCATTTTGCGAACAGGTGGGATAAGTTTGGTATTTCCCGCATATTCTCACATTCCTAACGTCAGTTGTCTGTATCTTTTCTCCTAATACCGATTGTCATATCTCTTCCACTTTGGGATGCGATCGTTCGACCCCTGAGTTTATCTGCGTAGCCTAGCTAAGAAAATATGAATCATATATTGATGGATTTATCAATTTGAAACATCAATGCACCTTAATGAAAACTAAATAAGTTCTTTATAAACGTTCATTAAAGCAAGAGATGCGAGTACAATGAATGTTACCACAAAAAATAAAATAAATAGGAATATTAATACCATTAACAGTTTAATTTCTAAAAATATTTTCAGTATTTGTCATAAAAAATACAAAACCCGCATAGAAATAGGTGTTCGATGAACCAAATTATAGAAAAACAGACCGCTCCCCTGCCTCTACCGAGGTGGGGTAGCCTGGTGGTGAAGGGGTTCGGTCGTCACGCCCAATACCAAGGTTCTATTCCCCACATGGGTACAATGTGTGAAGTTCATTTCTGGTGTCCCCCGCCGTGATTTTGCAGGAATAGTGCTAAAAGCGGCGTAAAACTATACTCACTCACTCGCTATTGAGGCAGAGCCCATATTAGGTACATATGTATATCGTCTCTGGTTGAAGCGAAGGACAGGATGTATTCTTAAAATAGCAACACAACCCCACCAGCGCTCGTCATAACGTGCAGCAAGCAGAGCCGGGAGGTCGTGCACAGGCAGCAATCGAATGTAAGTAATTACAAGATTACAATATTACATGGCTTCGAAGTTAGATCATTTGACAGCGTCTGCTTAGAGAAATGCGTCTCCTTTCTTTGTGATCGTTGTTATTTATCCATTTTAGCTCACTATCCCCTGTGTTTCTCTCCTGGAGACCTGGTTGTCTAGGTAGGCAGCGCGTGCGCTTCAGTGATACAGCCACGACTCAACAATGGCGGCTTCCATTCGATATGGACACGTGGCGCACGCTTTATCAGCTGTTTATGTATTTACTACGGAAAGACGCTAGAACGGGAGCTTAGAAAATGTCCGTGGCATCATGAATACTGTTGCAACGTGTATGTCAGGAGAATAACGTCCATTTTTACTTATATTATAAATAAAGGGAAACTACACTCTGGCTTCTATCCGGCTGCCTCACACCACCAGCTAAGGCTCATATTTTTATTCAGTAGCTGCCGTGAGTCGATCAGCTGGCTAACGCAACAGAGCGCGACAACCTCATCGGATGCCGTTATTAGGAAATTCCCCTGATGGTTATAGTTTGATAAAAAATATGTCTCCCCGCAGTGAAAACATGTTCGGATTTCTGAATGCGTGGATTGTAAGATGACAGATTGTTTGTTTGTTTTGTTTACCGCCGCACGCAGCAAAATTCCAGCTATATGACGGCGGTCTGTAAATAATCGAGGCTGGGCCAGATAATCCAGTGATTGACATCATGAGCATCGATCCACGCAATTGGAATACGATGACATGCATCAACCAAGTCAGCAAGCCTGACCACCCGATCCCGTTAGTTGGCTCTTACGACAAGCTTAGTCGCATTTTACAGCTAGCAAAACTATTCTACCCCGGATCTTCACGGGCAAGGTGACAGATTGATGTGGATGCTATTGCTGTATTTTATAGGTTGATATTTAATAATATCACGTTATAATATCATGTCAACTGACCTATAATATTTAAAAGAACAATTTGATTTATTTGAAGCCGCAATTAAAACCCCCTTTTCCCATTCCATTGGTTTTGTATACTATCGACTGTCGGATGTTGAATGAACAAGAAGATAAAGTCATCAATATAATCAGATAGAATTAGTGTTAGAACCACTCAGATTGTCTGACAAAGACTGCCAAATTACTCAATAACGTTCATCCCTGCCTCTGGGGGTGTAGAGGATATACAGTGAGTGAGTGAGTGAGTGAGTATTGTTTTACGCCGCTTTTAGCAATATTTCAGCATTATCACGGCAGGGGGACACCAGAAATGGGCTTCACACATTGTACCCATGTCGAGAATCGAACCCGGGTCTTCAGCGTGACGAGCGAACGCTTTAACCACGAGGTTACCCTGACCGCCCCAGAGGATATGTAGCATTCAGCGGTTCCCTTTTGGCATTTCTTGTGTCTGGGGTAATTACTCAATAGAAGACTGGGTTATAAATCCAGTCTGATGCGGTGAATGGACTACATGTTAAGTAATAACCATGGCAACACAGTAAGAGAAGAATGATCAGTTGAGTTGCTAAAAAAACATCGATCAAAGGATTAACCGATAATTTGATTGATAAATCAATGTTATCTTGCGGAGTAGATTTGTCAAAAGTTAGTGTTCATGTACGTAGGTTTACTAAAGCAGACGAAATACACCCATATCTGGGCGTGAAGTGCTTATGTCAAAACAACATACTTTGGTCAAAGGATTAACCGATAGTACGTTGATAGATTGATCATTTGGATTTTTTAATGAACCATGGACATCATGAACATAGTTGTCACGTGTGCTATCTCAGCTGACCAATGAGACTTGACACCTATGTGAAACACCTGAAACAAACTTACGTGGTCATTTGAGAAACGAACACGAATTAAGATACCCCAAAAAGGCTCTATATATCGATATGTATCAAAATATTAGATTGTCACAAAGACACGTGACATCGAACAAGTTTCTTTGTACAGCTTGATATGTATGGGATGTTATAGACCATTATCTAATCTCTGAAATGATCATATCGTACAGGGAAAAAAAATAGTTGTTCAATTATCTTAACAAAAAGATAATAAAAGGGAGCCCAGAGACTCTCTTCATTTGATACTGCAGTAATCTAGACTTGCCAAACATTATAGACTTGCATTGGCTATATTTGATATGTAAGACAGACTAGGGATATTATTCCTCTCTCTGGATATAGACCCGTGAAGATTCCGGGGTAGAATAGCAACCCATGCTTGCCGTAAAAGGTGACTAACGGGATCGGGTGGTCTGGCCCGCTGACTTAGTTGATGCATGTCATGGATCCCAATTGCGTGGATCGATGCGCATGATATTAATCACTGGATTGTCTGGTCCAGACTCGATTATTTACAGACTGCCGTCATATAGCTGGAATATTGCTGAATGCGGCGTTAAACAACAAACCAACCTACTTTGTGGATATAGGATATGTATAACTGCCTGATATTATACATATAACTTTTGTCGGTTGTAATTACGATTTTTGCATTTTGTTTTTATCCATTAACTGCAGCAGAAACCGAGGAGGCCTCAGCGGTGACTGGTCATTTTTTTTTCATACGTAAAACTTACCCGCCAATAACGTCCAGCTGTACAAAAGTGATTATGGTTAATATTATCTTAATTAGTAAAACTTGCAACTAAAAATACGGTATTTTGTAAAAATATCATTTCTGATAAAATAAAAATTTCAGAGTACAAGTATTCCGATCATTGCATCAAAATCCTTTCAAGTTATACGTTTTGGGGGGTATTATTAACCGAATCACGGGTAGATTGGTAGAAAATGTACAGCTAGGTGTTATTTCCGGTTTAGTTAATGGGAAAAACACACGGCAAACCTAATTTCTGCAAATAAAAAAATGTCCAGCAGAAGAGAAAAGACAATTTAAATGGTAAATCGTCAAGTCTGGAAGTAATATATCTCAAGTTTCATTGACCAAAATTTTTTATCACCTATTTACGCTGAATTCGCTGAAGGGACTTGATGTAGTTTTTAACTGTGCAAAAGAGGATGTTTCCCTATTAAGTCGTATATCAGGCCCTCCTATGAATATGAATGAATAATGCCCCTTCCATACAGATTATCCATTATCAGCAATAATATAGTTCAGTAATGTATTTTGTATGCATTATCGATGTATTTTGATGGGAGTCGATTGGAAAACGTATCAGTCATAGAGCTAGATAAATTACTTCGCCCATAATTTCATTCATTGTTTACGTCTAAGAACTCAATATCTTGTAATTGCCCAATAATTGGTGATACTATACGGCTTATAACAAAATTATGTCAGTCAACGCCAACAGTAAGGAATTCTTCTGTGGCTGATTGGCACTTAAGCAATAATATTAATTTATATGTATTTTATTAACATACCATTACGAGATCCCGATGCGTTTGTTTTGGCTACCACACAGTTGCCAAGTTGCTGGGATCTGTTTGGCGATGGGCGAGATGTCAGGCATCTTCAGCGTGGTCGGAGACCATGCCTGACTACTGCCCATTTAATAATCTGTGATACTGACCCTGAAACAAATATATCCAAAAAAAGCCCAAGCAAGTCTATTTTAGTAGGCAAGTCTAGATTACTGCAGTATCAGGAAATGACGAGAGTATCTTTGCTCCTTTTTATTATATTTTCTATGAACAGAACTTAACAACTGTTTGACTAGATGTTAGTCTACCCATATATTTGCTATAACTGATTTAAGAAAACACGTCTTCTACTTTTAGATAACAGATTCTGATGCTCAATGCCATGAATTTTATGCTTAAAAATGTTAAAGTCAAGAATTCGAGTCAGACAAACCAAAAGAAACTACTTAGCTTATCGCTTATTGGTGTATCTCCGCAATGTCCCTCACGCTGTCTGTTTCCGGAAGAAAGTGTTCTTATGTAAGTGAGATCGGCTTCTGACGGATACAGCCGAAGTTGTTCCACTGCATTTGACCTAGTTTTCCCATAGAAGCTGTGCACATATTTCTCTAATGACCGCTGTCAAATCCGATAGTCTTCTTTTTCATTCGCATAATTAATGCATTCTGTTCCAATTCAGGAGCTACCAATGCGCCTTCATTTTAACCCATTCAACGTTTTTATTCCAAATGCTTAGAGTGAGTGAGTGAGTGAGTGAGTTGGGTTTAACGCCGCTTATAACATTATTCCAGTCATATCACGGCGTGTCAGCTTAATGTGGGAGGAAAGCCCGAAGTGATGCAGGTCTCAGACGTTTACCACTTTGGTGAAACCCACGAGCACGGGTATGGTGCTGACAAACCTAGAAACATAATCAGGGCGAACCGGGATTCGAACCCACAATCATAGGTTTCTGGCGTGCCCAAGGGACGCAACTCTGCACAGCGAATCGCGGCGCCTTAGACGACTGGGCCACCCGTGCCCCCTATCCGCGGTCGAATTCAGCTAACATTGTAAGTTATCATGTAAAAAAACCAGCTCTAAATATATAAAAAATACATGGTCAGTTTTAATTAATGGATTGATGTACATTTAAAACAAAACATACAAAATTACAGCTGCCATGTGATTCATTCTGCACTGAAGGCTGCGAAAAGTGCTTGTGATTTGGTATGTTTGAACCTATATCTAGCTCGGAAAGCCGGGAAGTCATACACAAAGGCAACACTCAAATTTAAGTGACAGTCATCTGCAGAAACATAATTTTTTTTTTTATGCTGATTCACACAGGAGTCAAACCTTATCAGTGTGTAGAATGTGGGAAAGGGTTCACACAGTCAGGCAGCCTGCAGAAACACATGAATGTACACAGTAGAAGCAACCCTTATCAGTGTGTAGAATGTGGGAAAGGGTTCACACAGTCAGGTAGCCTGCAGACACACATGAATGTACACTGTAGAAGCAACCCTTATCAGTGTGTAGAATGTGGGAAAGGGTTCACACAGTCAGGTAGCCTTAAGAAACACATGAATGTACACAGTAGAAGCAACCCTAATCAGTGTGTAGAATGAAGGAAAGGGTTCACACAGTCAGGTAGCCTGCAGAAACACATGAATGTACACAGTAGAAGCAACCCTTATCAGTGTGTAGAATGTAGGAAAGGGTTCACACAGTCAGGTAGCCTGCAGAAACACATGAATGTACACAGTAGAAGCAACCCTTATCAGTGTGTAGAATGTGGGAAAGGGTTCACACAGTCAGGTAGCCTGCAGAAACACATAAATGTACACAGTAGAAGCAACCCTTATCAGTGTGTAGAATGTGGGAAAGGGTTCACTCAGTCAGGTAGTCTGCAGAAACACATGAATGTACACAGTAGAAGCAACCCTTATCAGTGTGTAGAATGTAGGAACGGGTTCACTCAGTCAGGTAGCCTGCAGAAACATATGAATGTACACAGTAGAAGCAACCCTTATCAGTGTGTAGAATGTAGGAAAGGGTTCACACAGTCAGGTAGCCTGCAGAAACACATGAATGTACACAGTAGAAGCAACCCTTATCAGTGTGTAGAATGTGGGAAAGGGTTCACACAGTCAGGTAGTCTGCAGAAACACATGAATGTACACAGTAGAAGCAACCCTTATCAGTGTGTAGAATGTCGGAAAGGGTTCACACAGCCAGGTAGCCTGCAGAAACACACGAATGTACACAGTAGAAGCAACCCTTATCAGTGTGTAGAATGTGGGAAAGGGTTCACACAGTAAGGAAGCCTGCAGAAACACATGAATGTACACAGTAGAAGCAACCCTTATCAGTGTGTAGAATGTGGGAAAGGGTTCACACAGTCAGGTAGCCTGCAGAAACACATGAATGTACACAGTAGAAGCAACCCTTATCAGTGTGTAGAATGTAGGAAAGGGTTCACACAGTCAGGTAGCCTGCAGAAACACATGAATGTACACAGTAGAAGCAACCCTTATCAGTGTGTAGAATGTAGGAACGGGTTCACTCAGTCAGGTAGCCTGCAGAAACATATGAATGTACACAGTAGAAGCAACCCTAATCAGTGTGTAGAATGTGGGAAAGGGTTCACACAGTCAGGTAGCCTGCAGAAACACATGAATGTACACAGTAGAAGCAACCCTTATCAGTGTGTAGAATGTGGGAAAGGGTTCACACAGTCAGGTAGCCTGCAGAAACACATGAATGTACACAGTAGAAGCAACCCTTATCAGTGTGTAGAATGTGGGAAAGGGTTCACACAGTCAGGTAGCCTTAAGAAACACATGAATGTACACAGTAGAAGCAACCCTTATCAGTGTGTAGAATGTGGGAAAGGGTTCACACAGTCAGGCAGCCTGCAGAAACACACGAATGTACGCAGTAGAAGCAACCCTTATCAGTGTGTAGAATGTGGGAAAGGGTTCACACAGTCAGGTAGCCTGCAGAAACACATAAATGTACACAGTAGAAGCAACCCTTATCAGTGTGTAGAATGTGGGAAAGGGTTCACACAGTCAGGTAGCCTGCAGAAACACATGAATGTACACAGTAGAAGCAACCCTTATCAGTGTGTAGAATGTGTGAAAGGATTCACACAGTCAGGTAGCCTGCAGAAACACATGAATGTCCTTAGTAGAAGCAACCCTTATCAGTGTGTAGAATGTGGGAAAGGGTTCACACAGTAAGGTAGCCTGCAGAAACACATGACGTTACACAGTAGAAGCAACCCTTATCAGTATGTAGAATGTAGGAAAGGGTTCACACAGTCAGGTAGCCTGCAGAAACACATGATGATTCATAGTGCTTATAAATGGAATGGACTGTGACGTCACACAATTCGCGAAAAATCGCTAATATAACCTTATAATGGTGTACTTAGAAATACTAAATAGTGTACGAAATTTGTCATTCTTCTGGGTACGAATATTCCACTGGTACGAAATGTCTGGTGTTTTCCCGCAGTACTAATTCGTTGTGGGTATGAAATTACCACAAACAGCTATTACCAGTGTGTTAAATGTGGGAAAAACATGAACAAAATCAGGTCTTACATCATGATCCATAACACATCACCAACTTGTGTATAGTTTGTTTGTTGTTTAACGCCGCACTCAGCAATATTCCAGCTATATGACGGCGGTCTGTAAATAATCGAGTATGGACCAGACAATCCAGTGATTAATATCATGGGCATCGATCGATCCACGCAATTGGGATCCATGACATGCATCAACCAAGTCAGCGAACCTGACCACCCGAACCCGTTAGTCGCCTTTTACGGCAAACATGGGTTGCTGAAGACCTATTATACCCCGGATCTTCACGTGTCTCAGCCCTCGTTATTGTTGGTGTTCTTGTGGAAACATCTTTTGAAAATGCATTATCATGATAAAAGACAACTCTTTTGTTTTCAGTGAACACCATAACATCCACAAGTTAACAATGGAAGTACAAAGCCAACCACAGAATCCTGGCTCTGTTTCTGAAACATGTGTAGTCAGTGACTGTGAGAGAGAATTGCTGGAAATTACTGACACTCAGGAAACAGGTGATCTCAAGGAACACAAAGATTGTGGTGGTCCAGAAGATCAATCAACGTGTAGTGCATGCGGGAAAACATTTATTAAATCAGAAGACATGAAAAGGCACATGGCGATTCACTGTGGAATCAAGCCTCACCAGTGCACTGTTTGTAAGAAAACATTATCAGGTCATCTGCAGAAACATATGCTGATTCACACTGGAGTCAAACCTTATCAGTGTGTAGAATGTGGGAAAGGGTTCACACAGTCAGGTAGCCTGCAGAAACACATGATGATTCATAGTGGAATCAAGTCTCATCAGTGCATCGTGTGTGAGAAAACATTTACATTATCATGTCATCTGCAGAAACATATGCTGATTCACACTGGAATCAAACCTTATCAGTGTGTAGAATGTGGTAAAAGGTTTAGAGGTTCAGGACATCTGCAGGCACACATGAGGATTCACAGTGGAATTAAGCCTTATCCGTGCATTGTGTGTGAGAAAACATTTACACAATCGGGTCAGCTGCAGTCACACATGAGCATTCACACTGGAATCAAAACTTATCAGTGTGTTGAATGTGGGAAGGAATTTACACGATCAAATTACCTGCAGATACACATGAGGATTCACAGTGGAGTCAAGCCTAATCAGTGTAATATATGTGAGAAAACATTTACACGATTAAGTACTCTGAAGAATCACATGCCGATTCACACTGGAATGAGACCTCATCAGTGTGTTGAATGCGGGAAAGCATTTGCACAATCAGGTAACCTGAAGACACACATGATGATTCACAGTGGAATCAAGCCTTATCAGTGTTTTGAATGTGGTAAAGAATTTTCAAGGTCAGGTCTCCTGCAGAGACACATGTCGGTTCACACTGGAATCAAGCCAAATCAGTGTCCTGAATGTGGGAAATGGTTTACACAACCATTTAGCTTGAAGAAACACATGAGGATTCACAGCGGAATCAAGCCTTACCAATGCATTGTGTGTGAGAAAACATTTACACTCTTAGGTGACCTGCAGAAACACATGAGGATGCACATTGGAATCAAGCCTTATCAGTGTGTTGTGTGTGGTAAACGGTTTTCAGAGTCAAGTAGCCTGCAGAATCACATAAGGATGCACTGTGGAATCAAGACTCATCAATGCATTGTGTGTGAGAAAACATTTTCAGCATCAGGAGGCCTGCAGAAACACATGAGGATGCACTGTGGAGTCAAGCCTTATCAGTGTGTTGTGTGTGATAAGTGGTTCACACACTCAAGTAGCCTGCAGAAACACATGACCATTCATAGTGCTAGCAAGCCGTATCAGTGTGATGTGTGTGGTAAAGCGTTTACATACTCAAATAGCCTGAAGCGACACCTGACCATTCATAGTGGAAGCAAGCCTTAGCAGTGTGTTCGATGTGGAAAAATATTTTGACACTCAGGTACTCTGCATACACAAGTGATGATTCACAATGGAATCAAACCTTTACGAGTGCATTGTTTGTGAGAAAGGATTGACACACTCAGGTAATCTGCAGAAACACAAGGATTCGCCGTGGAATCCAACTTATCAGTGTGTTGAATGTAGCGAGGGATGTAACATCACACGTTTCATAGTTCAGGAATAAAGGTTTACAAAGTTCATATTCTTGCTGCGTAGGGGATATTTAAATCCAATGCTATCTATCTCGGCCGTTAATAATCCTCTGGCCATGTTGTGACCACATGTTTACACCACGTGCTCTTGGACAGGGAGGGGGCACGGGTGGCCCAGTGGTCTAAGGCGCCGCGATTCACTGTGCAGAGTTGCGTCCCTTGAGCTTGCCAGAAACCTATGACTGTGGGTTCGAATCCCGGTTCGCCCCAATTATGTTTCTAGGTTTGTCAGCACCATACCCGTGCTCGTGGGTTTCACCGAAGTGGTAAACGTCTGAGACCTGCATCACTTCTGGCTTTCCTCCCACATTAAGCTGACACGCCGCGATATAACTGGAATATTGTTAAATGCGGCGTTAAACCCAACTCACTCACTCACTCTGAAACCACCTCCGTATTTAAGGGGTGGCAGGGCTTTGAGGGCCAGAGTTTGCCTCGTGGAGGACGTAAGCAAGTTCATATTCTTGCTGCGTAGGGGATATTTAAATCCAATGCTATCTATCTCGGTCGTTAATAATCCTCTGACCATGTAGTGACCACATATTTACACCACGTGCTCTTGGACAGGGATAAATCAAAGGCTATCTTATCTTCCTTACATGTAGTCATACAGCAACTCTGTATGTTGCAGAGTTGACCAGTAATTAGCCTGTCCAGAACAAGACAATAAACTAACTGTCATCGTCTACAACCCTGCTTTGACAAACAAGGTAGTTAGCCTGTTTAATTAGTGTGCTGATTGTTCTTATACACCACTAGACTCTTGGTCAAAACAAGGCAATTAACATATTTGCTGTGACCTGCAACCCGTGCCCACTTAAATTATTACTGAACCATTGTGACAAGTTCACGTAACATTAACCCGTGAAGATCCGGGGTAGAATAGGTCTCCAGCAACCCGTGCTTGCCGTAAAAGGCGACTATGCTTGTCGTAAGAGGCGACAAACGGGATCGGGTGGTCAGGATTTGGTTGACGCATGTCATCGTGTCCCAATTGCGTGGATCGATGCTCATGATGTCAATCTCTGGATTGTCTGTTCCAGCCTCGATTATTTACAGACCGCCGTCATAAAGCTTGACTATTGCTGAGTGCGGCGTTAAACAACAAACAAATAAACCAAAAATAACCAAATTTTCAGTGAGACATTTTCCATAGAGTGTGAATAAGTTTTCATGGAACCATAAATTCTTTGTATGGATTAATGTTACACTTCAAAAGTGTATTGTACGGCTGCAAAGTACGACAACACGGGGATGCCACTTTATGCTGTGGTCTAGTGGCCGGATGCAGATAGATATCCCTGACCGCTGACCTCTTCCGGTCACCGGGCGGTCACCTACAGGTCACCCAGGGACTCCAGCGACCTACGTAATTAATTTATATATAATACTTATCACTCACTTCTGTATACAATACGATGCTTGTCGTAAGAGGAGACAAACGGGATCGGATGGTAAGGCGCGCTGATTTGGTAGATGCATGTCATCGTGTCCCAATTGCGTGGATCGATGCTCATGATATCAATAACTGGATTGTCTGGTAAAGACTAGATTATTTACAGACCGCCGTCATATAGCTGGAATATTGAGTGCAGCGTTAAACAACAAACAAACAAACAAACCAAACTTTTAAAAAAACAATACAATATTTATCAATACGATATATGTAGCATTTATGAATTTGGAGGCAAGAGTTATCGGAACTAAAACAAACATAAAGCACATCAAATAAAGCTAACTGATAGATAAATTCATACATAAGATATTTATGATGTTGAAGAGCATGAGTATGGTTTACGCCGCTTTTTGCAATACCCCTGGGGGGGGGGGGGGGGGGGGGGGGACTTTATACATTGTACACATGAACGGAATCGAACCCGGGTCTTCGGCTTGACGAGCGAACCCTTTCACCACCAGGCTACCCTACCGCCCCTTTATGATATTGGTGGCAATATGTATCTCAACTAAAACTCAAGCAAATGAAATAAAGTTAATTTAAAAATAAACGACGATTAGCAGTTGTACAATAAAACACTGCAGGGAGAATAAACCGCCAGTCGATTATTTCTTACATGAGATATCAATATTATGTTCAGCCTCTTTAAGGATGTTACTAAACCGTACAAACTTGAAATATATTTACCCGTATTTACATAATGATGACTCCCTGAATGAAATGCGACCTCGGCAATGTTGGACAAGTCCATTTTGCGAACGGGTGGGATAAGTTTGGTATTTCCCGCATATTCTCACATTCCTAACGTCAGTTGTCTAATACCGATTGTCATATCTCTTCCACTTTTTGATGCGATCGTTCGACCCCTGAGTTTATCTGCGTAGCCTAGCTAAGAAAATATGAATCATATATTGATGGGTTATCGATTTGAAACATCAATGCACCTTAATGAAAACTGAATAAGTTCTTTATAAACTTCATTAAAGCAAGAGATGCGAGTACAATGAATGTTACCACAAAAAAAATATAAAAAAATAGGAATATTAATACCATTACCATTTCTACTTTTTTTTTCAGTATTTGTCATAAAAACACAAATCCGCATAGAAATAGGTAATCGATGAACTAAGTTATAGAAAAACAGACCGGTCCCCTGCCTCTACCGAGGTGGTCGGTGGGGTAGCCTGGTGGTGAAGGGGTTCGGTCGTCACGCCCAATACCAAGGTTCTATTCCCCACATGGGTACAATGTGTGAAGTTCATTTCTGGTGTCCTCCGACGTGATATTGCAGGAATTGTGCTAAAAGCGGCGTAAAACCATTCTCACTCACTCGCTGTTGAGGCAGAGCCCATATTTGGTACATATGTATATTGTCTCTGGTTGAAGCGAAGGACAGGATGTATTCTTAAAATAGCAACACAACCCCACCAGCGCTCGTCATAACGTGCAGCAAGCAAAGCCGGGAGGTCGCACACAGGCAGCAATCGAATGTAAGTAATTACAAGATTACAATATTACATGGCTTCGAAGTTAGATCATTTGACAGCGTCTGCTTAGAGAAATGCGTCTCCTTTCTTTGTGATCGTGGCTATTTATCCATTTTAACTCACTATCCCCTGTGTTTCTCTCCTGGAGACCTGGTTGTCTAGGTAGGCAGCGCGTGCGCTTCAGTGATACAGCCACGACTCAACAATGGCGGCTTCCATTCGATATGGACACGTGGCGCACACTTTATCAGCTGTTTATGTATTTACTACAGAAAGATCTGGGCGTGAAGTACTTATGTCAAAACAACACACTTTGGTCAAAGGATTAACCGATAGTACGTTGATTGATATATCATTTGGAATTGTTTTAAAGAACCATGGATATCATGAACATAGTTGTCACGTGTGCTATCTCAGCTGACCAATGAGACTTGACACCTATGTGAAACACCTGAAACAAACTTGAGAAACGAACACGAATTGAGATACCCCAAAAGGCTCTATATATCGATATGTATCAAAATATTAGATTGTCACAAAGACACGTGACATCGAACAAGTTTCTTTGTACAGCTTGATATGTATGGGATGTTATAGACCATCATCTAGTCTCTGAAATGATCATATCGTACAGAAAAAAAAATAGTTGTTCAATTATCTTGACAAAAAGATAATAAAAGGGAGCCCAGAGACTCTCTTCATTTGATACTGCAGTAATCTAGACTTGCCAAACATTATAGACTTGCATGGGCTATATTTGATATGTAAGACAGACTGGGGATATTATTCCTCTCTCTGGATATAGACCCGTGAAGATTCCGGGGTAGAATAGATCTTCAGCAACCCATGCTTGCCGTAAAAGGTGACTAACGGGATCGGGTGGTCTGGCCCGCTGACTTAGTTGATGCATGTCATGGATCCCAATTGCGTGGATCGATACGCATGATATTAATCACTGGATTGTCTGGTCCAGACTCGATTATTTACAGACTGCCGTCATATAGCTGGAATATTGCTGAATGCGGCGTTAAACAACAAACCAACCTACTTTGTGGATATAGGATATGTATAACTGCCTGATATTATACATATAACTTTTGTCGGTTGTAATTACGATTTTTGCATTTTGTTTTTATCCATTAACTGCAGCAGAAACCGAGGAGGCCTCAGCGGTGACTGGTCATTTTTTTTTCATACGTAAAACTTACCCGCCAATAACGTCCAGCTGTACAAAAGTGATTATGGTTATTATTATCTTAATTAGTAAAACTTGCAACTAAAAATACGGTATTTTGGAAAATATCATTTCTCATGAAATAATAATTTCAGAGTACAAGTATTCCGATCATTGCATCAAAATCCTTTCAAGTTATACTTTTTTGGGGGTATTATTAACCGAATCACCGGTAGATTGGTAGAAAGTGTGCGTACAGCTGATTGCTATTTCCGGTTTAGTTAACGGGGAAAAACACAGGGAAACCTAATTTCTGGAAATAAAAAAAATGTCCAGCAGAAGAGAAAAGACAATTTAAATGGTAAATCGTCAAGTCTGGAAGTAATTTATCTCAAGTTTCATTGACCAAAATTTTTTAATCACCTGTTTACGCTGAATTTGCTGAAGGGACTTGATGTAGTTGTTCACTGTGCATAAGATGATGTTTCCCTTTGAAGTCGTATATCAGGCCCTCCTATGAATATGGATGAATAATGCCCCTTCCATACAGATTATCCATGATCAGCAATAATATAGTTCAGTAATGTATTTTGTATGCATTATCGATGTTTTTTGATGGGAGTCGATTGGAAAACGTATCAGTCATAGAGCTAGATAAATTACTTCGCCCATAATTTCATTCATTGTTAACGTCTAAGAACTCAATATCTTGTAATTGCCCAATAATTGGTGATACTATACGGCTTATAACAAAATTATGTCAGTCAACGCCAACAGTAAGGAATTCTTCTGTGGCTGATTGGCACTTAAGCAATAATATTAATTTATAAGTACAGTAAACTACGGTTATAATGAACACGCTTATAACGAACTGACGGATATAACGAACTTACTTTTTTGGTCCCGACTATTTGCTGTAGTTATGCTGTATATATGCTTATAACGAACTACGGTTATAACGAACTAAAATTAGAAGTCCCTTTGAGTTCGTTATAACCGTACTTTACTGTATTTTATTAACATACCATTACGAGTTCCCGATGCGTTTGTTTTGGCTACCACACAGTTGCCAAGACTGCTGGGATCTGTTTGGGGATGGGCGAGATGTCAGGCATCTGCAGCGTGGTCGGAGACCATGCCTGACCACTGCACATTTAATAGTCTGTGATACTGACCCTGAAACAAATATATCCAAAAAAGCCCAAGCAAGTCTATATTAGTAGGCAAGTCTAGATTACTGCAGTATCAGGAAATGACGAGAGTATCTTTGCTCCTTTTTATTATATTTTCTATGAACAGAACTTAACAACTGTTTGACTAGATGTTAGTCTACCCATATATTTGCTATAACTGATTCAAGAAAACACGTCTTCTACTTTTAGATAACAGATTCTGATGCTCAATGCCATGAATTTTATGCTTAAAAATGTTAAAGTCAAGAATTCGAGTCAGACAAACCAAATGAAACTTCTTAGCTTATCGCTTATTGGTGTATCTCCGCAATGTCCCTCACGCTGTCTGTTTCCGGAAGAAAGTGTTCTTATGTAAGTGAGATCGGCTTCTGACGGATACAGCCGAAGTTATTCCGCTGCATTTGACCTAGTTTCCCATAGAAGCTGTGCACATATTTCGCTAATGACCGCTGTCAAATCCGATAGTGTTCTTTTTCATTCGCATAATTAATGCATTCGGTTCCAATTCAGGAGCTACCAATGCGCCTTCATTTTAACCCATTCAACGTTTTTATTCCAAATGCTTAGAGTGAGTGAGTGAGTGAGTTGGGTTTAACGCCGCTTATAACATTATTCCAGCCATATCACGGCGTGTCAGCTTAAATGTGGAAGGAAAGCCCGAAGTGATGCATGCAGGTCTCAGACGTTTACCACTTTGGTGAAACCGACAAGCACGGGTATGGTGCTGACAAACCTAGAAACATAATCGGGGCGAACCGGGATTCGAACCCACAATCATAGGTTTCTTGTGTGCCCAAGGGACGCAACTCTGCACATTGAATCGCGGCGCCTTAGACGACTCGGCCACCCGTGCCCCCTATCCGCGGTCGAATTCAGCTAACATTGTAAGTTATCATGTAAAAAAGACAGCTCTAAATATATAAAAATACATGGTCAGTTTTAATTAATGGATTGATGTACATTTAAACGAAAACATACAAAATTACAGCTGCCATGTGATTCATTCTGCACTGAAGGCTGCGAAAACTGCTTGTGATTTGGTATGTTTGAACCTGTATGTAGCGCGCAAAGCCGGGAAGTCATACACAAAGGCAACACTCAAATTTAAGTGACAGTACGGCAAAGATTACAAAATGACGTCGCGAATGATATCCATGGTAGATCATTTCATAACGGCTGCTTATGGAGTGGTGTCTCGTTTGACAGTGATCCATTTATCCATTTAACCGCACTGACCCAATCCCTAGTTTTCTCTCCTGGAGACCAGCCTTTGGCTCCTCTTGCGCCGCACTGATACAGGCAATTCCATAACGGCGGCCTCCATGAGACAAAGAAAAATGGCCTAGCCTAATAGCCTAATGGTTAAAGCGTTCGCTCGTCACGCCGAAGACCTGGGTTCAATTCCCGACATGGGTACAATGTGTGAAGCCCATTTCTTGTGTCCCCCGCCGTGATGTTGCTGGAATATTCCAAAAAGCGGCGTAAAACCATACTGACTCACTGTTTATAAATGGACTGGACTGTGACGTCGTTTGAGGGCGCTAATATAACCTTATAATGGTGTACTTAGAAATCAGAAGACATGAAAAGGCACATGGCGATTCACTGTGGAATCAAGCCTCACCAGTGCACTGTTTGTAAGAAAACATTATCAGGTCTTCTGCAGAAACATAATTTTTTTTTTTTTTATGCTGATTCACACAGGAGTCAAACCTTATCAATGTGTAGAATGTGGGAAAGGGTTCACACAGTCAGGCAGCCTGCAGAAACACATGAATGTACACAGTAGAAGCAACCCTTATCAGTGTGTAGAATGTGGGAAAGGGTTCACACAGTCAGGTAGCCTGCAGAAACACATGATGATTTATAGTGTTTATAAATTGACTGGACTGTGACGTCACACAATTCGCGAAAAATCGCGTTGAATATGGCCGTTTGAGGGCGCTAATATAACCTTATAATGGTATACTTAGAAATACTAAATAGTGTACGAAATGTGTCATTTTTCTGGGTACGAATATTCCACTGGTACGAAATGTCTGGTGTTTTCCCGCAGTACTAATTCGTTTGGGGTATGAATTTACCACAAACAGCTATTATCAGTGTGTTAAATGTGGGAAAAACATTAACAAAATCAGGTCTTACATCATGATCCATAACACATCACCAACTTGTGTATACTTTGTTTGTTGTTTAACGCCGCACTCAGCAATATTCCAGCTACATGACGGCGGTCTGTAAATAATCGAGTATGGACCAGACAATCCAGTGATTAATATCATGGGCATCGATCGATCCACGCTATTGGGATACATGACATGCATCAACCAAGTCAGCGAACCTGACCACCCGAACCCGTTAGTCGCCTTTTACGGCAAACATGGGTTGCTGAAGACATATTATACCCCGGATCTTCACGGGTCTCAGCCCTCGTTATTGTTGGTGTTCTTGTGGAAACATCTTTTGAAAATGCATTATCATGATAAAAGACAACTCTTTTGTTTTCAGTGAACACCATAACATCCACAAGTTAACAATGGAAGTACAAAGCCAACCACAGAATTCTGGTTCTGTTTCTGAAACATGTGTAGTCAGTGACTGTGAGAGAGAATTGCTGGAAATTACTGACACTCAGGAAATAGGTGATCTCAAGGAACACAAAGATTGTGGTGGTCCAGAAGATCAGTCAACGTGTAGTGGATGCGGGAAAACATTTATTAAATCAGAAGACATGAAAAGGCACATGGCGATTCACTGTGGAATCAAGCCTCACCAGTGCACTGTTTGTAAGAAAACATTATCAGGTCATCTGCAGAAACATATGCTGATTCACACTGGAGTCAAACCTTATCAGTGTGTAGAATGTGGGAAAGGGTTCACACAGTCAGGTAGCCTGCAGAAACACATGATGATTCATAGTGGAATCAAGTCTCATCAGTGCATCGTGTGTGAGAAAACATTTACATTATCATGTCATCTGCAGAAACATATGCTGATTCACACTGGAATCAAACCTTATCGGTGTGTAGAATGTGGGAAAGGGTTCACACAGTCAGGCAGCCTGCAGAAACACATGAACGTACACAGTAGAAGCAACCCTTATCAATGTGTTGAATGTGGTAAAAGGTTTAGAGGTTCAGGACATCTGCAGGCACACATGAGGATTCACAGTGGAATTAAGCCTTATCCGTGCATTGTGTGTGAGAAAACATTTACACAATCGGGTCAGCTGCAGTCACACATGAGGATTCACACTGGAATCAAACCTTATCAGTGTGTTGAATGTGGGAAGGAATTTACACGATCAAATTACCTGCAGATACACTTGAGGATTCACAGTGGAGTCAAGCCTAATCAGTGTAATATATGTGAGAAAACATTTACACGATTAAGTACTCTGAAGAATCACATCAGGATTCACACTGGAATCAAACCTTATCAGTGTGTTGAATGTGGGAAGGGATTTACACGATCAAATACCCTGCAGAAACACATGAGGATTCACAGTGGAGTCAGACCTTATCAGTGTAATGTATGTGAGAAAACATTTACACGATCAGGTACTCTGAAGAATCACATGGCGATTCACACTGGAATCAGACCTTATCAGTGTGTTGAATGTGGAAAAGAATTTACAGTATCAAGTAACATGAAGAAACACATGAGGATTCACAGTGGAGTCAGACCTTATCAGTGTAATGTATGTGAGAAAACATTTACACGATTAAGTACTCTGAAGAATCACATGGCGATTCACACTGGAATCAGACCTTATCAGTGTGTTGAATGTGGAAAAGAATTTACAGTATCAAGTAACATGAAGAAACACATGAGGATTCACAGTGGAGTCAAGCCCTATCCGTGTAATATATGTCAGAAATCATTTACACGATCAGGTACTCTGGAGAGGCACATGGCGATTCACAGTGGACTCAGACCGTATCAGTGTGTTGAATGTGGGAAAGCATTTAGACATTCATATCACCTGAAGACACACATGATGATTCACAGTGGAATCAAGCCTCATCAGTGTGTTGAATGCGGGAAAACATTTGCACAATCAAGTAATCTGCAGAAACACATCAGAATTCACAGTGAAGTCAAGCCTTATCCGTGTAATATATGTCAGAAATCATTTACACGATCAGGTACCTTGGAGAGGCACATGGCGATTCACAGTGGACTCAGACCGTATCAGTGTGTTGAATGTAGGAAAGCATTTAGACATTCATATCACCTGAAGACACACATGATGATTCACAGTGGAATCAAGCCTCATCAGTGTGTTGAATGCGGGAAAACATTTGCACAATCAAGTAATCTGCAGAAACACATCAGAATTCACAGTGAAGTCAAGCCTTATCAGTGTAATATATGTGAGAAATCATTTACAGTATCAGGTACTCTGAAGAATCACATGGCGATTCACACTGGAATGAGACCTCATCAGTGTGTTGAATGCGGGAAAGCATTTGCACAATCAGGTAACCTGAAGACACACATGATGATTCACAGTGGAATCAAGCCTTATCAGTGTGTTGTGTGTGATAAGTGGTTCACACACTCAAGTAGCCTGCAGAAACACATGACCATTCATAGTGCTAGCAAGCCGTATCAGTGTGATGTGTGTGGTAAAGCGTTTACATACTCAAATAGCCTGAAGCGACACCTGACCATTCATAGTGGAAGCAAGCCTTAGCAGTGTGTTCGATGTGGGAAAATGTTTTGACACTCAGGTACTCTGCATACACAAGTGATGATTCACAATGGAATCAAACCTTTACGAGTGCATTGTTTGTGAGAAAGGATTGACACACTCAGGTAATCTGCAGAAACACAAGGATTCGCCGTGGAATCCAACTTATCAGTGTGTTCAATGAAGCGAGGGATGTAACATCACACGTTTCATAGTTCAGGAATAAAGGTTTACAAAGTTCATATTCTTGCTGCGTAGGGGATATTTAAATCCAATGCTATCTATCTCGGCCGTTAATAATCCTCTGGCCATGTAGTGACCACATGTTTACACCACGTGCTCTTGGACAGGGAGGGGGCACGGGTGGCCCAGTGGTCTAAGGCGCCGCGATTCACTGTGCAGAGTTGCGTCCCTTGAGCTTGCCAGAAACCTATGACTGTGGGTTCGAATCCCGGTTCGCCCCAATTATGTTTCTAGGTTTGTCAGCACCATACCCGTGCTCGTGGGTTTCCCCGAAGTGGTAAACGTCTGAGACCTGCATCACTTCGGGCTTTCCTCCCACATTAAGCTGACACGCCGCGATATAACTGGAATATTGTTAAATGCGGCGTTAAACCCAACTCACTCACTCACTCTGAAACCACCTCCGTATTGAAGGGGTGGCAGGGCTTTGCCCGTTGACCTTGAGGCCCAGAGTTTGCCTCGTGGAGGATGTAAGCAAGTTCATATTCTTGCTGCGTAGGGGATATTTAAATCCAATGCTATCTATCTCGGTCGTTAATAATCCTCTGGCCATGTAGTGACCACATGTTTACACCACGTGCTCTTGGACAGGGATAAATCAAAGGCTATCTTATCTTCATTACATGTAGTCATACAGCAACTCTGTATGTTTCAGAGTTGACCAGTAGTTAGCCTGTCCAGAACAAGACAATAAACTAACTGTCATCGTCTACAACCCTGCTTTGACAAACAAGGTAGTTAGCCTGTTTAATTAGTGTGCTGATTGTTCTTATACACCACTAGACTCTTGGTCAAAACAAGGCAATTAACATATTTGCTGTGACCTGCAACCCGTGCCCACTTAAATTATTACTGAACCATTGTGACAAGTTCACGTAACATTAACCCGTGAAGATCCGGGGTAGAATAGGTCTCCAGCAACCCGTGCTTGCCGTAAAAGGCGACTATGCTTGTCGTAAGAGGCGACAAACGGGATCGGGTGGTCAGGATTTGGTTGACGCATGTCATCGTGTCCCAATTGCGTGGATCGATGCTCATGATGTCAATCTCTGGATTGTCTGTTCCAGCCTCGATTATTTACAGACCGCCGTCATATAGCTTGACTATTGCTGAGTGCGGCGTTAAACAACAAACAAATAAACAAAAAATAACCACATTTTCAGTGAGACATTTTCCATAGAGTGTGAATAAGTTTTCATGGAACCATAAATTCTTTGTATGGATTAATGTTACACTTCAAAAGTGTATCGTACGGCTGCAAAGTACGACAACACGGGGATGCCACTTTATGCTGTGGTCTAGTGGCCGGATGCAGATAGATATCCCTGACCGCTAACCTCATCCGGTCACCGGGCGGTCACCTACAGGTCACCCAGGGACTCCAGCGACCTACATACATACATACATTAATATATTGTGTCTATCAACATGCACTACACGTTCTTGACTCTGCGTCCCCTACGTCGTTACAAAATACAATGGCATTTATACAAAACAGTTATTTCAATATAAAACACGTAATTAATTTATATATAATACTTATCACTCACTTCTGTATACAATACGATGCTTGTCGTAAGAGGAGACAAACGGGATCGGATGGTAAGGCGCGCTGATTTGGTAGATGCATGTCATCGTGTCCCAATTGCGTGGATCGATGCTCATGATATCAATCACTGGATTGTCTGGTAAAGACTAGATTATTTACAGACCGCCGTCATATAGCTGGAATATTGAGTGCGACGTTAAACAACAAACAAACAAACAAACAAACGAAACTTAATATTTTAAAAAAACAATACAATATTTATCAATACGATATATGTAGCATTTATGAATTTGGAGGCAAGAGTTATCGGAACTAAAACAAACATAAAGCACATCAAATAAAGCTAACTGGTAGATAAATTCATACATAAGATCTTTATGATGTTGAAGAGTATGGTTTACGCCGCTTTATACATTGTACACATGAACGGAATCGAACCCGGGTCTTCGGCTTGACGAGCCAACCCTTTCACCACCAGGCTACCCTACCGCCCCTTTATGATATTGGTGGCAATAGGTATCTCAACTAAAACTCAAGCAAATGAAATAAAGTTAATCTAAAAATAAACGACGATTAGCAGTTTTACAATAAAACACTGCAGGGAGAATAAACCGCCAGTCGATTATTTCTTACATGAGATATCAATATTATGTTCAGCCTCTTTAAGGATGTTACTTAACCGTACAAACTTTAAATATATTTACCCGTATTTACATAATGATGACTCCCTGAATGGAATCCGACCTCGGCAATGTCGGACAAGTCCATTTTGCGAACAGGTGGGATAAGTTTGGTATTTCCCGCATATTCTCACATTCCTAACGTCAGTTGTCTAATACCGATTGTCATATCTCTTCCACTTTTTGATGCGATCGTTCGACCCCTGAGTTTATCTGCGTAGCCTAGCTAAGAAAATATGAATCATATATTGATGGGTTATCAATTTGAAACATCAATGCACCTTAATGAAAACTGAATAAGTTCTTTATAAACTTCATTAAAGCAAGAGATGCGAGTACAATGAATGTTACCACAAAAAAAATAAAAAAAATAGGAATATTAATACCATTACCATTTCTACTTTTTTTTTCAGTATTTGTCATAAAAACACAAATCCGCATAGAAATAGGTAATCGATGAAATAAGTTATAGAAAAACAGACCGGTCCCCTGCCTCTACCGAGGTGGTCGGTGGGGTAGCCTGGTGGTGAAGGGGTTCGGTCGTCACGCCCAATACCAAGGTTCTATTCCCCACATGGGTACAATGTGTGAAGTTCATTTCTGGTGTCCTCCGACGTGATATTGCAGGAATTGTGCTAAAAGCGGCGTAAAACCATTCTCACTCACTCGCTGTTGAGGCAGAGCCCATATTTGGTACATATGTATATCGTCTCTGGTTGAAGCGAAGGACAGGATGTATTCTTAAAATAGCAACACAACCCCACCAGCGCTCGTCATAACGTGCAGGAAGCAAAGCCGGGAGGTCGTACACAGGCAGCAATCGAATGTAAGTAATTACAAGATTACAATATTACATGGCTTCGAAGTGAGATCATTTGACAGCGTCTGCTTAGAGAAATGCGTCTCCTTTCTTTGTGATCGTGGCTATTTATCCATTTTAACTCACTATCCCCTGTGTTTCTCTCCTGGAGACCTGGTTGTCTAGGTAGGCAGCGCGTGCGCTTCAGTGATACAGCCACGACTCAACAATGGCGGCTTCCATTCGATATGGACACGTGGCGCACGCTTTATCAGCTGTTTATGTATTTACTACGGAAAGACGCTAGAACGGGAGCTTAGAAAATGTCCGTGGCATAATGAATACTGTTGCAACGTGTATGTCAGGAGAATAACGTCCATTTTTACTTATATTATAAATAAAGGGAAACTACACTCTGGCTTCTATCCGACTGCCTCACACCACCAGCTGAGGCTCATATTTTTATTCAGTAGCTGCCGTGAGTCGATCAGCTGGCTAACGCAACAGAGCGCGACAACCTCATCGGATGCCGTTATTAGGAAATTCCCCTGATGGTTATAGTTTGATAAAAAATATGTCTCCCCGCAGTGAAAACATGTTCGGATTTCTGAATGCGTGGATTATAAGATGACAGATTGTTTGTTTGTTTGTTTGTTTGATTTACGCCGCATGCAGCAAAATTCCAGCTATATGACGGCGGTCTGTAAATAATCGAGGATGGGCCAGACAATCCAGTGAATGACATCATGAGCATCGATCCACGCAACTGGAATACGATGACATGTATCAACCAAGTCAGCAAGCCTGACCACCCGATCCCGTTAGTCGGCTCTTACGACAAGCTTAGTCGCATTTAACAGCAAGCATGGGTTGCTGAAGAACTATTCTTACCCGGATCTGCACGAGCAAGGTGACATATTGATTTGGATACCATTGCTGTATTTTATAGGTTGATCTTTAATAATATCACGTTATAATATCATGTCAACAGACCTATACTATTAAAAAGAACAATTTGATTTATTTGAAGCCGTAATTAAAACCCCATTTTCCCATTCCATGGGTTTTGCATACTATCGACTGTCGGATGCCTAAGGAACAAGAAGATAAAGTCATCAATATAATCAGGTATCAATATAAACTGATATAATTAGTGGTAGAACCACTCAGATTGTCTGACAAGACTGCCAAATTACTGAATAAAGTTCATTCCTTCCTCTAAGGGTGTAGAGGTGAGGTGAGGTGAGGTGAGGTGAGGTGAGGTGAGGTGAAATGGGGTTTAACGTCGCGTCCAAGATTATTGCACTTATATAGCGACATGCATGCACGTGTGTGTGTCTGTGGCTGCTTGTACTAGTCCGGTTGTCGATTTATAGTGCTAGCTCACTGAAATACCATGCCGCAGTTTAACATGAATATCCCACTCAGACACAGTATACTGACTCCGAGCCGACCAGTCCTTGTTTTAGCCCCTTAATGCCGAGCGCAAGACAGGGTAACAACAAGTACCATCTTTTAACGTCTTTTGGTATGACGCGGTCGGGGATCGAACCCCGGACCTTCTGCTCTCCGAGCAGACGCTCTACCACTAAGGGTGTAGAGGATATATAGTGAGTGAGTGAGTGAGTGAGTATGGTTTTACGCCGCTTTTAGCAAAATTCCAGCAGTATCACGGCGGGGGTCACCAGGAATGGGCTTCACACATTGTACCCATGTTGGGAATCGAACCCGGGTCTTCAGCGTGACAAGCGAACGCTTTAACCACTAGGATACCCGAACGCCCCAGAGGATATGTAGCATTCAGCGGTTCCCTTTTGGCATTTCTTGTGTCTGGGGTAATTATTCAATAGAAGACTGGGTTATAAATCCAGTCTGATGCGGTGAATGGACTACATGTTTAGTAATAACCATGGCAACACAGTAAGAGAAGAATGATCTGTTGAGTTGCTGAAAAAACATCGATCAAAGGAT